ATTCCTATTTTTAAGGTATTTTTCCTCCATAAGCAGCCTTTTCCTTTTCAAACAAATACCAGACAAAATGTTGCCGCAATGTGCCAATCGTGGCGTAACCTTATGAGGAGCAATGCAAACAGAATGAAAGAATTTAACCAAAATGATTGATTTGCCTTCCGTGTGCTGTTAGAGTGGCTGCTTAAAAAGAGTTTTTGGACACTGGTCTCAAATCCATTTGCAGCATAAGTGGGCCCCTTAATGTGTATTGTAATGTCATTCCTTTAGTCCAAGACCTTCAAGAGGACACTTTCTAATTTTCCTGAAAAAACATCTCCTAAAAATGTGTCCCAGAGACTGAGCTGGTTTGTGGAGAGCAACTTGGCAGTGCTAGGTTAACGGTTGGACTTGATGATCTTAAGGGTCTTTTCCAACCATGACGATTCTACGATTCTATGATTCCATGAAGCTAGAGATATTGGTGGGTTACCTGTGATGGACCCAATGGTCACATTGGGCAAACGTTGACAGCTTTACTAAAAAATATATGGCAAGTCATTCTTGTAATAAGAAGTACTATGGATTACGGTTAGGAAGAGTGTGTACAGGTATATTCACGGCATGCGTAAATATTCAGCGTCACTGTATGGATATCAGAACGTGATCACCTATACTTTCCAGTTCCGTGGCTGCGTAAAAACTGATCTTAGGTTTTTATTGCAAAATGTTTTCGTACTTATTAGCTTCCTCTGAATTTTTTCCAATGTTTACTTAAAATTTCCAGTCATTCTTGAAAACTCCTTTTGGTAATATACACAAAGGGGAGATAATCATGGTTGTCAAAGTAATATATAATGATTGCTCCAGGAAACATTTTCCAGCATCCACCTACCTCTAGTCAAAATGAATACAAGCCAGATCCCAATATTTTGACCCAAAGGGTAAAAATGATTTATAAACAATTATATAGAAAAGCTCACTCTTATTCTCTGTTTACCATAAATGTATATGCGATTTGGTGTTGAGTTTTTTTCAAATAGATTCCTGTGCTGTGATCCTGCCAGCCCTGAAATGCATGGGTGCCCTTTCACCGACTTCAACTTCAGCTAGATCATGCCAGTTTTAAAAGACAAATCTTTTACATTGTTGTTTTATGAGATGATTTTTACAATGCTGACTTCATATACAGATAAATCTTCCTTAAGTGTAAATTTGATGATGCAGTACACAAAATTCTCCGTAGCAGAAATTTTCCATTCTCTTTTATCTTCATTACTGTACATCCCTATTACAAGGGAGTAATAGTTTACAGTCTAGTTGCAGTGTTTACTTTAGCTTAATCTGAATAGTTGACCCCATTAAATCAATTTCAACTCTTGGCCTTTGCTTTTACTTCAGATTGAAATGCTAAGTTATAAACAAGCAAAAACTTGAAAGAAATCTATTTAAAATGAGAAAACAAGTAAGTTAGACCAGAAACAACCGCTACCTCCAGCAGCACAATTTGCTTGTTTAGTAAACTACATAATGCTGCAAATTGAAAAATAGAGCGTGACAGCTTTTGTTAACTCATACTAATTATATGCTATCATACCTAACACCTAAGTCAGGTTTTAGGCATCTGAAGGCTTCTGATTGACAGGTATTATTTGGAATTCTAAAAAACTTTAAAAAGAAAGAATCACAGTTAGCAGGTTGCAGAATGTGCTCTTAGTCACTATCAGTCATGCTCTCCAGTTCCAGCAGGAAAATATAGTTCATTATTAGTTACTTGCAGTATGGTGGCTTACCAAAGCCCTAAGATAAAGACTGTTATGCCAGATAACGCCCGAACAGGAAGAAACGTCCAGGGTTTAGGCTCCTAGGTTCCTACAGGGTCCCACATGAAAGTCAATGTTAATAGTCCCACGCTAAAGGTAAGGATGGGTTTTCAAGCTGTAATTCCAGCTATATATGAGGCGGAGGGGAAAGTAACACACTGAGAAGGTACTTGTGGATGGTGCTCACACTTTCAGTGATCAGCCAGATCCCATCTAACATTTGTGATCTTTATTTACTTATTTATTTATTTGTGATCTTTATCTACTCAGAGAGAATTGAGGTCGATATATTTATAGAGGCTCTTCTGTTTGTGATTTGTAATTTATAGGCTCAGCACCCAAAGCATTCAGCAGCCACTCATAATTACATTTCACGTAAAAACCACCTGCATTAAAGGGACATTATCAAGGCTGTAAGGTCAAGTGCTAAATACTTAGGCAATGCCAGAATGAAGGTTGCCTCTGCAACATTAATTCAGTCTCTTTATACATATGTATTATAGTGTGGTTTCTAATTGCATGATGACACAGAAATTTTTTACTATCCTACCATTTGCTTCATCAGTGCATGGAGTGGGCAGTGCTCACTTAATGAGCCAGTATTAAATATTTTGCTTTCTCCTCCTTGAAGGCATGGCCCCAAGCCCTTTAAACCCTGATTAGAAGACAAAAATCTTTATTTCCTCATGGGCTGTTCATCGGTGTTTCACTAAAGTATATGAATACTTTACAAATGTTAATGAATTTGTATCTTCATGAAATCCTCACTGAAAGAAAATGATGATTCTCTTGGTTTCACAACTAAGAAACTAAGACATAAAGTGATCAAGAGCAAAAAGTAGCTGTTGATTTTGAGTGGCCAAATCAAGATAACAAGAAACTGAGTTTTGAAAGAGTTGCTGTAGGCATCACGTCATGTGTCCCAAGCACAGCTTCCACTGATTTCTGCAAACTAAACGAACACTTGAATACTTCCATTACTCAGGCATCATAGCCTCAAAAACAGTATTCAGGGAGACTGCAGCTATTGAGAAGTTGTGAAGAGTGGTTCAAGTGGCAAAACTAGGAACTTTGAACAAGCAATCTGCGGCAGGAACAGAGCTATAACGTGTGTCTTTGGGGCACACAACACAGCAATCTTTTCTCTTCTTGGCATCATTCAGTGCAGCCCTTAAATTCTGCAGCATGTGAGGCAAGGACCTTACAACAAACAGCCTACTCTATTACCTCCTACAGATCCTCTTTTCCATTGAGTGATATTCTTTCTCTTTTCTTCTCTTTTTTCCTTTTTCTCTCTCTCTCTCCCCCTTTCCATTTCTCCTTTCTCTTGCTATTCTCCTCTTCATTTTTTCTTTCTTACCAGCTCGTCGGGCAACTCTTCTCACCGTGCCCACTCTGATGACAGCGTCTTCTGAGGATGACATAGACCGGAGACCCATCAGAAGACTCCGGTCTAAGAGTGACACCCCTTACTTGGAAGAAGCTAGGATCTGCTTCAACCTTGATAATGGTAAGACCACCCCTTCCCCAAACAGCATGTGATGTTAAAGACTTTTCTTGAGATGCAGATGGACCAGATGGTACCTTCTCATTCACAAGCGGTATGGTGGTTCACCAGACATCCAAGGATGTCACGGCTGCCTAACTACAGGCACCTGCATATGTATGAAGAGGGATCCTTTTCAAAATTCTCCTGCAAGTACTAACTAAAGCTTTTCCCTTGTTTTAGCTAGAGTGAGCCAGTGAGATCAGAGCAAAAGAGAACGGCTTTGCAAACAAGATACAGTTATATCTTATCCACTCCAGGCATCCAGAAACATGAGAGTTCTTGTGAACATTTATGAAGGGATTAGAACTAACAGCAGACTTCAGCTAAACCCAGCATTACAACCAGGGAAGAACATCCAGCACGCCCCAAAACCTCTATAGGTTTAACTGGCAAAAGTGTAACAGAAAACTCTTGATTCTGCAGGAATGAGTAAGAGAGCTGTCCTCCAAAATTCAGACCAGCTAATGTTACTACTGCTGCCTTCAGAGTTACTGAGCCCTGGCATTCCCTGGTCCTTTTTCTCACTGAGGTTGACCAAAGCAAAAGATTCACTAACAACTTAGTGACTTTAAGCAGACTGAGTTTTCTTGAAAAAAACTGAATTAAATGGGATGAACTAGTATACTCCCTGGCACATATTTTAACTGTTTAACTCTCACTTCATGTAGTACTTTTGTGCTACCTAGATTTTTAAAAAAAATAGCATTTTTAATTATTTCTATTACACTAACATCTAGAGGTCCCAACCGAAATTGGAGCCCTAACGTGGCAGGCAGCCTACAACCACAGGGTAAGAAATAACATCTACGTAAAGAAGTGATTGCTAAATAGGTAAGACGGAAGAGAGGAGAAACAGGAAAACATTGGCCCCAGTTTGCAGCTGGAGAATGGAGTCACTGATTTTTGCCGATGGTCACGTCTTTTTCAAAGACCTGCCAAAACATAAACATAGAGTGTAGGCTCCTTGGCATTTTAAAGTGCGTGCCCTGGTGCACCATTCTGGTTTACTTAATGGGTTTGCCCAAGGGAAGAGGAGAAGGAGGTGAAGGGATGAGCCCTTAGACTTCCCGCCAAGTCTCGATCCAGCCGTGCTCTGAGTTTTGGGGTGCCTAGGCTAAAAGAGAGCAGTTCAGGGTGCCCAAGCCCGGGGCGGGAGGTGCCAGGCCTGCTGCTGCGGGCTGGCACCTCGGCCAGCTGGGGCCATGGCGGCGCGTGCCACCTCAGCCGGGCCGAGGTCGTTGGCGGGGGGGGCGGGAAAACACCTAAACACCTCCGCCGGGGCCCTGCCCGGGGGGGGCGGCA